TGTAGCCCACACATACCTTTGCTGAATAAATCATGTAAGAGCTCAAAGTCTGAGAAAACAGTGTTCTGTGGGCTTTGTTATTATGATAATTATTAGACCGCTGTTTATATATGAGAAAGCTATAAAAAGAGGAGTTGTTTATTGGAGTTGCAAAACTGTGCTTCATTCTTCTTGTTCACGCTTTGTTTCCTCGGCCAGGTAGGTTCTGAAAGGATAATCCTTGAAGAGGGAAAGGCAATTCGTTATTTTGATCAAACAGATGGCTTGGGGAACATTGCGGTTCTGGGCTGAGGAGAAAAAGGAAGTTTTTGCTTTTGTTTTGATTTTTCAAGATGCAAGGGATTGTATTCACATAAGCAGATACATCAGGGATGCACAGTGGTCTTCTTTAATTGAAAATTTAAATTTTTACATGTATAAAGCACTGTATTTGCTTATCCTGACATCCTCCTTTCCCTGCCCCATGTCCCTGTCATTCATTGTTCAGCATGCAACCATTCTCCTGATTGTGTCTCCCCCATATATACGTATTTGCAGGTATAGTTGAATCCAGGATTCATTCAAGTGAAGAAAAAAATGTAATTGACGCCCTTCCTCAACACCCTCTCTTCTCTGTCTCTCTTCTGTCAGGCTATCTGCTCACATGTGTGGATAGACGTTTAAATCTAGACTTTGCCTGTGAGAGAAAATATGCAACGTTTGTCTTTCTGAGCTCGGGCTCCTGTCTTGGACAGTACCCACGTAATAAATGGTAAAGCAGAGGAAGGGAGGACGATGGTGTGTGCTTTGGATGGCATTCCAGGCAGAGGGCCACGGTGTAGGACGTATAGATTCTGCCTAATTACAGGTTCATGGATTGAATCAGTGTTTCAAAGCCTGTGATATCCCAAACGTTAAGCCGGAGGCGGTTTCTCAGAGAGTTAAAACCTCTACTATGACCAGATATTCAAGAATGGGAAAAATTCAGGGACTTCATTATTCCAAGTGTTTCTTTGGCATGCCCTACATCAACCATCATGTGGGTGACTTCCTCGAGCCACAGATTCTTGGCCTCACTGAATTAAGTCACCTGGACCTAGACTTTCCCAAATATTCGGGCCTAAAAACTTTATGAGTTAATTTAATATGTTATGTCACATGTATATTACTTATAATATTTGTATGTCCTATCCATAAATACATAATTGGTGTTATTTACTGGCCAAAATTATACTTGTGGGCATTCTGCCCACATCTGTAAAGCAGAGCGAAAGGGAAAGGTACTGTTTTAAAGTGTGTTCCATAACCAAAACTCATTGCTGCTCCTCCTGTAATAGCGAGGCACTTGTAAATTCGGTATTTTTCAGACAGTCCCTAAGCACATCCACTATATGCTCCAGCACCCAAGCAGGTGAAATTTACATCAGGGACCATCCATCATGCTTCTGTTTATCACGCTTCCTCGGCCTTCTCTCCTACCATTTCCACAAGTTGAAGTATCAGAAGCGGAGATTGGTTTTTCACAATTTCTTTTTAACAAGGATTTTTTTTTTTAAGTGCTCCAGCTGATATTTTCCCCTCTGGGTATTTTGAAATTGATTTGTTCAGTGAAACGACTTTCACTTCTAGATTTTTTTTTTTTTTGGTCAGGCATTAAAGGCAGGCTAGTCGGTGAGTTACTCCCGAGGTCATGGTGTTTCACTTTCTCAGTCATGCCCTAGACTTCTCAGTGCGTTCACTGTTCTAACGGTAGCACTTCTGTTCCAAAACACAGCTGTGAGCCAGAAGGCAAGCACAGGTCCAAAATGATGGCACGGAAATACAGCCGGGGAGTTGGGATAAAACTTTAATTGGCACTTTATATGACATTTTGAAGGCATTAGGTATTTCAAAGCCATTAACAGGATTGTTATTATCTTAAAAGTCATTTAAAAAATTAAAATTACCCACAATGCTGTTAACTGTAAGACATTTGAACAGTGAATCGTCCATAGTGGTAGCCTTAATACCCAGAATGTTGCGGATATTGTCTGTAAATGGAACTATTGCTGTGTGTTTTTGAAGTTGTTCCTTAGGGTAGCAGGACCGCTTTTTCATTAGTGTGTTGCAGTACCTTTTCCATGTGTGTTCTTAATTTGATTTATATAGGAAAAGGAAGAACAAACGGAACACCCCCGGGCGTTTAATCGGTGCTTTATTTCTATCTGGTTCATTTCCACTGAGTTACAGTGTTGGCTGATGCTCATCTTCACTGAGACTCCTTCTCAGCGGTGGATGCATCAGCTACTAACGAGCTTGCGTGTAATACAGAGGTGGTGTGCCCAGAACCGCAGTCAAGAATACATCCCACCATGAGGCTGCCAGTGTGAGCTGCTTGCTTTTACCAAAGCTCAAATATGGGCCCTAAGTCTTAAGATGTTGTGCTTGTACTTTGAATGCTCACAGAGTTGTGAGGATAGGTGAGCGGCTATGTAAACTCACATTTCAACTTGAGCAAATCGAACAGGTATTAGAAACTACACCAAGCTAGCTTTTTAAAAATAAAATTGTTTATACCACACAGTATACTTACTTATTTGGTCATTTTTAACCAAGGAGACAGAGAAATGAAAACTATCATCCATAAACTGGCCTGTTTCTCTTGTGTGGATGGAAGAATGCAGAGTGGTGAGCCTATGTCCCAGACTGCTTGCTTTGCCCTCTCCACGCCTCATTTACTGGGAGTTGTGTGAGGCACACTTGGCTTGAGTACCAGAAGGCAAAAGAGAGGCTATGAATAGAGAGATCACCAAAAGAGAACCCCCCAGGGGCCAGGCATCGGATCCTGCCAGTCACTTTAGCCCATGTATTCCAAAATGAGTGGTCAGCCACGTCCAAAGCCGCCTTGAGCAAAGAAAACGAACCCTAACGGAGTTCATCTGCTTGAGGCAGTGAGGAGCCTTGCGATCCTGTGAAATCGGAATCAGCAGAGACGTGAGGACAGAATGCCAGTGTCTGTGGGATCAGCACTGAAGGCGAGGTTAGAAAATGGAACTTAGTGGAAGTGGGCTTGTCAGTCGGGGAGCTCGGCGACCATCGCTAGACATTGGCTTCCTCGGGCTCTGATTAGTTAGCCTCCCAGAGCCGTCTAGTGTACAGTTTTAATAAGCTTCGGCAGGAACCTAGAACCCATATTGCCTCTGCATCCTGAGATCAGTGATGACACACATGTACCATCACACTTGGCTGTTCACACATTTTTTTTTTCCAATACAGAATCCAATAATAAGAACAAATGATTATGTTTGGAAGATTTTGAAGAAAGAGCAACAATTTACTTAATTTTGTTTTAAAAACGTAATCAGAGTCAGGAAGAAGCACAATAATAACCAATGTATATGAGTGTGCCCCTGATGGCTTATGAAGCCTTTTTTCCACACCCACTGTCTATATCTTTATGGAAAAATATTTCATAGGACGGAGAAAAGAGGACTGCAGATCGAAGACCCTCAAGGATGATGCTTGAAATTAGGATGTAGGCCATGTCCTTAAAGTAGATTTTTTTTTAACTAACAGGAGCCCAAGATGGTTGTGGTTATTGAGGGACTGAATTCAAATCTCAGGTGGAAGCCTTGAAGTTCCAGTGGTTAAATGGAAGTATAACAGATACAACAATTGGTGTATCAGGAAATCAGCTATCACATCGCAATCCCATGAGGTTGTACAGTGTTCTGAGGTCCCTATTTAAAAACTATACTAAGAAATATAGAAAGAATTCAGAGAAGAGCTTAGCGATTATTAAAGACATAGGGCCGACTGTGAACTATTTCAATGGCATCGGATAAGCTCTTATTGTTTCAGCATTCATGATGATTCCTGTAAAAATAGCTACATGGAGAAAGGAAGAGCTGATTCTGATCATTCAAATTGTGCTTGTCTTCCCAAAAAAACAGCGGAACTTGGCTCTAAGTAGAAGCCCAGAGCTTGAGCACGTGGGTGTTCATTGGCTAATGCCTGACTTTTTGTAGCAAGAACAGAGGGAAAAGAAATATATCAACCCATTTAGTCTAGGTAAGTGGTGAAGGAGTTGGCTTACCCAGAGACTGTCCCCAGGGGTGGGAATTCACTTCCCTGGAGAGTGGAAAACATAGGCCAAGGCTCATCTCTCTAAGGAACAGAGAGGGTTTCAGCCTGTGGAGCCGCTAAAGGACAGCCACGAGTCCTTTCAGATTCCACCTCTCTGTCTGTAGGTTGTCACAGTATCTGAAGACGAGGCCTCTTCTGCAGGGCGAGCCACAGCGAGGCAGGCTGTTTCTGGCCCATTACTCTCTGACCACATGGAATGATAAGTACATGAGGGAAGGGTGGGTCAGAATGTTCCCTGAACTGTGCTGTTGGCTCTGCCAGGACAGGCCACACCCTCACTGGCCAGGGTCAGTGGGCTGAAGCAAAAGAGAAACTGTCCGTATCGAATTGTAGCTCTCTGTTAGATTTTATCTATCCTATTGTTTTATAGTGAAGGGGGAAGGGAAGGAGAGAGGGAGGGAAGGAGAGAAGAGAGAGAGAGAGAGAGAGAGAGGGAGAGAGAGAGAGAGAGAGAGAGAGAGAGAGAGAGAGAGAGATCTGAAAAAGGGGGTACCTGCAACTATTTGAAAAGGAAAAGAATTTAAAATCAGGGGGAGAAGCCTTCATATTTTCTTGAGGTGACACTCACCCCACACATTGATTCTAGTATCGGGCCCTAAAATGCAGCCTGGGATTCGGAGAGCCTTGGGGTCCCGGGGCATCCTCAGGTCATTGCCTGATGCACACAGATAAGGCTGTTTTCCCAGGCAGAAGCTCCACCTCAGTCACCCGGGGCTGCTTAGTAATGGAGTTGTCTCCCCAGGGGTGAGGCAGCCGAGCAGACTGGCACAGGGGTGGCTTTGCTATCCTGCAGCCATCCCTCGGTGGTGGTGGTCCTCCCTCCAGCCTGGTGTTGCTGACTGTGCCTGGACTTCAATGCAGAAAGTGGTGAGTTGCCAACCCCGCCCCACCCCCAAACCAAACAAAACCAAAGGATGTGCCTCCTTGAGGATTATGCCGAAGTATTTCCAGAGAAGAGATTTGGGTTTTTTGTTTGTTTGTTTGTTTGTTTTGTTTTGTCGTGCTGTTTTGTTTTTCACCTTAAAAACAAGAATTTCATCCTAAAATACGAAGGAAAATAACTTGAAGATTGTGCCATGCAGCTAGAGTCTAAATCTGACAATAGCTTTCTATTTGATTTGGTTCACCCGGTTTACTTCACCAAGTGGTCTCAGGTGGCCTGTTTCAGGTGGAGGTGGGCTTGCCAAAGCCACAGTTGTCCTGGTTGGCCAAAGAGATGTGATCCCTGGCTACCTCCAGACTAGCCAATTTACAGAGATGGTAAAAAATATATGATTTGGTTCTTTTTAAGTTTTCCTTTTCTCTCTCTCTCTCCCACAAATGCTGTTTTCTGTAAGTCATTTTATTTTCTTTAGGGAAGGGGATCTTACTCTCTCAAGTGCTATGTGATGCCCTTGCCTAAAAAGTCTTCCCATTAACTGAGTTGGCCTGAAGGTCATAAGCCATAATCAATACAAGGAGGGCTGGTTGCTGCAAGGTGCTAATTGACATCCCCTAAGAGGAACAGTGTCAACAATCAATAAAGGAGACACGGCATAGGTAGATTTATGGCTTTGATTTTGAAAGGGTGCAGGAATACCCAGTGATGCTCTTCCCTGCACTGCTTTTGAATGTTAATGTTTTCTTGAGGATGATTTCAGACTCACTGCGAGGATACTGCCTCTACTCACTGAAGCAGAATCCTCTGAAGAGTTGCTGAGGCAGAACTGAAATCATGGCTTTGCCTCCAAGAAGCAGCTGTAGTGGCCGTTAACGATGCCTCGCGCGGGAGGAAGATGCCCCTTTAACTCGGGGGTTTTAATGGGAAGTTTCTGAGCCTGAGACAACAGCTTTGGAGCTGGGGTGTGCCATCGGCGGCTGCTCCTCGCAGCTACCTCTGTCTCCTGCTTGAACTCAGCCGGGCTGGGAAGAATGGAATGGAGACAGGCTTCTAACTACCTGTAACTGCTTCACCAGGAGATGGATCAAGCAGTTTGCCCAGCCAGATCCAGGTACTTGATCCTAACGGTGTCTTCGAGCTAATTAGATGATTTTTTCTGTAACTTTGTAATTTATGCATGAGCAACAATCACAGATACCTTTTGAGTCTAAGTTCTGAATTTAATTGAACTGTTCAGTCTGTTTAATCAGTAGCTAGGGAAAGTTAGTCCAAGAGGGTAAAAATGTAACAGTGACTTTCTTAAAAAAAAACATGCTTAAGTTTATCATGGTTCTGATATTGCATAAAAAAGTAGGAAAACAGGATTTCCCCCCCTTTCCTAAGCTGCAGTAAATTATTCTTGAAAACTATATTTGCTCATTACAATATATTTCCCCTTCATTTGAAATGCCCAACCTTCTGAAAGGTAACAAGAATATTTTGTTTACAAGAGAGTATAACTTAGTAATACGTACTCAGTGCTGACTGCCCCCAGGCAGCCTTTTGAGGTATCCCTGCATACTTCTTTTCTACTACAAAACACACAGGGAAAGAGGCAGACAACCGAGAGGTATGAGAGACACACAAGGAAAAAGGCAGAAAACCAAGAATGGGAGGCTCGTGACTTGAAGTTCACAGCCCCACTTGGCTAATGGTGCCTTCTGATTGCCCGGTTTTGGTCTGGGTGACCGCATGGTCGCTCTCCGATGTTCTCGGCTGGGCTGCAACCTTGCCTTGTAGTCTCTTGAAAACTCTCTCAGCAGGTGTTAGGAGGAAGATGATGTCCAAAAAGAACTACAGAGGAGACTGGGGCTCTGGCTAAAGAGCCATGTCCCCTGATGACCCAGAGGTGACAAGCAGTAGTGACAGGGTCCACTCCCAAATCCAAACAGCCGTGTCTGCAGATTGACTTTGCAGGGACGAGCAGAGAAGAAGCCTTTCAGGGGAGCAGCTGGAAAGGCACTCTGCAGAAGCTGCCTGTTGACATTTGGAGCTGACCAGCTTTGCGTGTTTTTAAAAATATTGCTCGCGAGCTTTCTAGTAGCCTTGAGTATATTTTTCAAGAGTATAAAATAATATTCACCCTCAGCTGTCCTGTGAATTTTGAAGCTGGTGGGGATTGTGCTGGAGCAGGAGGGTTATATTTAGAAAAAAAAATGTTGCCATGTATTTATGTCAACCAAAAGTAAAGGTGGGATGGAGGGATTTAAAATGTATGAAGCACTCAGAAGTCCCAGGATATGTTTACCTGGAGCTCTTGGAAGATCACCTGGACCATGAATGACTTGAATTTCTATGAAACATCTTGCATCATTTTGTGTATACACAAGTATGTGTATACTGTTCCCTGGGATAATATGCAGGGTTTCTGAAAGAGCCACACGACAGTGACTGGGTCACAAGGACACTCTGATAGTTACAGATCTCATCTCTCAAAAAGCTGTAGTTGTTGGTCTTACTGAGTTAATGAGGAGGCCCATATAGAAGGCTCACTCACCGTTGTAGGAGGTGATGGACAGTACACTCGCCTGGGAGGTTCACATACCTGGAGTAGACGAGTGTGTCAGAGAGAGGCATGTGGGAGAAACTTCAACTCTGTGAGGAAGAATGTGCCTGAGACTTTAGCACAAAAAGGAGAGATTGGGTTACCTCAGGTTATGTGTTACCCGAGTCCTTGCAAATCATGGTCCTGTTTCAGCTGTCTGTTCTTGGGCTATTGCAGAATATTGCAACACTTTAGGTAAGTTTGTCTCTGCCAGACCCTGCAAATTCAGCCCTGCCTACCTGGCCAGCTCCCTTCCTGTTTGTCTAAACAGCCGTCTCCCTGCTCTGCCAGGTAAATATAAATGGAGTACATAGGATCTTTTCATAGGACTGAGTGTCCTGTCCCTGCAAACTGGACAAGCCCGTGATTGCTCTTGTTCGATGGATGGGCTGTGTTTACAGCTAGTTTTAAAAACATGTCAACTCGCGAAATTAGACTTCTGGCCTAGATGTTTTAAAAGCTGGGCACGGCAATTATGCGGTTTAGGAGTGCCTAAAACAGAGATGGCATTGCTCAACTATGAGACCATTAACAGCGGAGGGATGAGACTTTCAACTCATCCTAACACAGCATCGGGGAGGAAGGGGGGATGCTGCTCTGTGGGAAACTGGACAGTTTATTCATAACTCGCCGTGCCTTTGTGTGCTATATTTACATAACAGAAACTAGAAATAAATCTCACTTTGCACAAAAATGGCAAAGAGAGAAAACACAATTTCCCTACTGCTTATTTATTGAGCACCCAGAACGTGCCAGGAAGAGCTGCCAATGGACTACAGCTGTCGCACCCACCACCACCACAGTACATTCCAGGAGGGTAGGCATTTGAGCCCTAAGTGTGAGGCTCTAAAATCAAGGGTCAGTATACATTTCTGCAGAGCAAGGTAACAAATGCACTTGGCGGAGTGTGTCTCTGCCCCTTTAGAAATAAGAAATGTGTTGTGGCTCTAAGATATACTTTGCTCATAAAAAAAAAGTATTTTTCCCTTTTGGTGAAATTGCATAATGAGATGCAAATTAGATAAAATGTCCAAGGGCTTCTAGCCTTAGAAGGGTGCCTGTTGACATTAATAGTCTCCATGTAAGACATTAGGATTCAGTATATTGTAACAGGCTGAAATTCTTCAAGAGGCAGATTATGTAAGAATGATCTCTTCAGTAGCAGGGTAGTTGCTTATGCCTGGATGATTGTTTTATTGTATTTTGGACCCCACCCATCAGCAATGAAGCCAAGAAAAACCCAAGAGCCAAGTAACTAACAGCTTTTCAAATCGTAAGATCTACGACTATTAATGTGTCATGGTGACTTGAACTGTCTGTGATTCTTTGAAGCAAGACCTGTTTTTAACGCGGTGATCTCATATCTCAGCTCAGCGGAATGACATGTGTTTTTTATCCCCCCCCCTCCATTGACTCAGTTAGCTGGAACCTTGCATTTTGAATTCAGTTTCCTGGACTATAAAGGGGCCAGAAATTTGAGCCAATCTATACTCAAACAGGCAGTGACCCCCAGATTGACAAGGAATTCCTCAGGCTCCTGTTGCATACTAGGGAAGGAGGCACACACCGTGGGAACTTGTCCCGGGAAGTGTCTGGAGGCAGAGCAGGAGACACCATCTTTGGTAAAGAAGAGCTGTGTGGACTTAGCTGATGAAGACTCTGAGAACAGAGAGAAAATACCCTTATGCAAAGAGGGGGGAGTGTGCACTGTGAACAGAACCCGGGGATGTTGGGGTTGTTCTAGGAGCTGTTCTAGGTGAGCAAGCAAAATCAGAACATTGTCCCCAGGTGTCCCTAGACTCCATCACCGGGGACTTAACTTTGACCAGTGTGTTGGCCATTTTACTTGAAGTCAAATGTGATTTGATGTTTGCTCCATTTCAAACAGGGAAATAAATCAGTATCACAGAAGACTCCATTGCTGTAACATTTACCGCCCTGTGGTCCAGGAAACATCAGAACATCCCATCCCCTGGGAGTCCATGGCCTGTAGGCACTAGGGTACCTGAGTCTCTGGGAGATGGGGGTGGGGTTAGATTTGGGATGAACAGAACGCAGTGCATAAGAAGGACAGATAAACAAAGGGAAGGACTCTTTGCCATTACTAAGATGAGAGAGTGGCTGACCGTGAGAACGGGCTTGATTCAGATGGGCTGCTTCCGCAGTGTGCCAGAGGAATTCAGGGTACTTCCTACTTGGTCCGTTTCCGGGACTCCATGGAGATTGACTTGAGAAAAGGGGCGTGTTATGTAATTTCCCGTGGCATCTTTGAGTTGAGGTTTTATTGCATCAGTATTAAAATTAGACTTTATTTCTTGAGCATACACCATTGGACCTGGCAGAGAGAAGACACAGATGCTCCAAATGATGAGGAAAGCCCACCAGACACTGTTGTGAGTAACCGTGGTTCTTCTTCCTCCTTAAAATAACTGCCATGTGCTGTTAGTAAGCCTTACAGTGGTCCTGCCAAACTCTTCTGGAATGATTTGTTTCCCCAGATGTCTCAGTTCATTTAAAGAAAAAAAAAAGGTTTCATTATTTCTGTTCATAAAAGAAAGATTTCATTATTTAGTTAAAACTAATACTGAACGTTCTGTAAGAATAATTTTTACTGAAACGGGGGCATTTTACTTTAAGACGGGCTTTTAACAATTATGTGTCTGGATATTTGGGAGTTGGGTTTGTTAAGTGATGAAGTTTAATTCTTCATTCTCTGTCTTCTGTCCGGTGTTTCCTTCAATTTAAACATGCTGTTGAACATTTGAAATCTATAAATTACTAATTAGCTGATTGCAGGCTTCAAATTAAGCATCCTCTTTGAGAGATTTCAATGGACTCTAAGTGAACTTGTGAAGTAGTTGGCATTTGTTTCTGGATCTCTCTGGCCCCTGGTCCCTTTGTAGCCATCTCTTCCCCATCCACCATTCATCCATCTGCTAAGGGCCCCCACGGCTGCTCCCCCGCTCTTCCGTGTCCACATCGCCCCTTAGGGATCTTGGCCCATCCTCTGCATTTCTTTACACCCTGTCTCTTGCATCTCTTCCTCGTTCTAGTGGGGACAAGTCTCATAAGAAAATGACTGCTCATGGGGTTCACGTATCATTTTTCTTTTCTTTCTGAAATATTAACTTGGTAAGAAGATTTGGTTATCTGACCCACATAGGTTATTTTAGTAAGAACTTGCTCTCGGTGGTATTGCAATTCACAATGTGTTATTAAGTTTTCAAAATTATTTCACTTGCATTTTCTTATTGAATTGGTGTCAGTCTATCTATCTATCATTGTTGTCTACCTATACGCAGCCTTCTCTAAGGTGTCAGGCTTTAAACGAGGATTAACCAGATTTTTGCCTCTTGCCTGTTTCTTCCTTCCCTTTTTTCCTCTTCCTCCCTCCTCCCTTCCCCCTTCCTTCCTCCCTCCCTCCCTTCCTTCCTGCTCCCACCCTCTTTCTTCTTGCAGGGTGGGAGGCTGAGGTTCTAGGGATAGACAGGGCCTGACTAGGTGATCTGCCACTGAACTACATCCCCAACCGCCTTTTGCCTTGTAGCCAGCAAAGGGTAGCAAAACCACAAATTAAAACTGACTATTAAGCCACCACAATAGTTAGGTTGTGAAGAAGTGAAGCATCAAGGGTCTTTCCCAAGGAGACTGAGGGGGATGAGGGGCAGGCAATCTGAGGAAGAGTGAGGCTACGTCCTGGGGGTTCCTGTAGGGCTGTTCATTGCGGCAGACACTGAATGAACAGCGCACCTGTTTGTGGTCTTGAGTGATGGGTAGAGCCTAAGAAACATGAAACACTGATCCAGGGAAAAGTGATTGCCATTTGCCCCATTTGAAGAAGGTCAAAGAAAATAGATCAAGATGGCTCCCCATTGCTCAGACACCAGTAGTGAGAAAAGGGATGGAGCCTGAAGAAGGCTTTGCTGCTCTGGTTAGCCAGCTTGTAGCTCAGGCTTCACCTCCCAGGCCTGCAGGTTCTCTCTCTGGTTCTCCCCTGATTTTTTTTTTGACATCACAGATCCCAGATATCCTTAATTTTACAAATTTATATAATTAGCTCTCTTTTCTTTTCCTGCACTTACTTTTTGGATTGTGCATTGTTTTCATAAAATAAATCCATGAAATGTGTACTCTGCTCTGTTGAGAATAAAGGAAAAGATGCTGATTTCATTGGGGCCAGAGGAAAACGAGACACAGAATGAGATTCTAGGGAATAGCAAGGACAGCAGGGGCCACAGGGAAGGGGGCCCATAAGACAGGAAAAGGCGAGAACGAACATGCCAGGGACAGTGGAGACATGCGCTCATCTGCCATCGTATGGCTCTCCCTCCTGTTTGTCCTTGGATAATTTTATATTTGCAGTGATTAAGTCCAATGTGGATATTTTTTTCTGTGGCTAGAGATGACCCTAGTCTGTTATGATAAGGAAATTGCATCGGAGGCTTTAGCTACTGCCCTGCCCTCTTCTCCCCCAGACCCAGTGAGAATTAACTCTAAGGCCAGGAGGATGCTTTAAAAACAAGCGAATTCAAGCCAAACCCAGTCCATCAATATCCCCTGTATTTCTAAAGGGCTTATTTCTTTTTAAAACACAGTTAAGTTTTATCTCAACCTTTCTTCAAAGGAAGCATGAATCATGAATGAGACTCGCAACGATTCCAGCATTCAAGAAAAGAAAATGAAAGTGTTAGCGCTAAAAAGGGTCCATTACCCCCAAACTGGTAACTTCATCCTCCCAGACAATGATAGTTATCCCCTTTGTAAACCTATTTTTAAGTAGGGATTTTATTTCATATTTGTTGATGTGTCAAATTCCATGTACTCTGCTCTTCTGATGACTAATGGTGTACTAAAGGTGATGATTGGAAGTGAACTGAAGAAGCATTGTGCTGATCCTTTAGAAATAATTTCTCTTTTTATTTGGTTGCTTACTTTCATTGAGGATAATTTCTGTGGAGTCATATTCATTTCTATAGCTATCCCCTCTGTTACATATTTTATCTTACAGAAAAACTAATAAGCAGTATGTCATATCATTTTCAATATGATTTTGTCTAGTATGCATGCTTTTCTTTACAAAACTTAAGTTGATTTAGTGTAGTACCTGCAGATTTTAATTACCTTTCTGTATTCTGCTATTTGCATTTAAAAGCAAATAGCAATATTTAAATGCCTCAATTTTTAACAGTGAAATGTAATAGCCCTCTCTCTCTCTCTCTCTCTCTCTCTCTCTCTCTCTCTCTCTCTCTCTCTCTCTCTCTCTCTCTGGAATGGTGTTAAGTGATAGGAAGCCACCGTTGAGAAAGCCGTCCTTTTAGTTGTAGTAGATCAAATTCATCTCCCTTGCTCAATTCTCCAGGTCCTCCCCAGGGTCAAGTATTGAACCTGGTCTTTGTGTTTTGAAGAACAAAGATAAAACACTGTCCTTGATGGTTTAGGAGTCTACAGTACCCCTTTTCCCTCAGCTCAGGCAGCAGAAAGCCGAGTCTCTTAGTTCTGTCTGAAGTGAAGCAACACTTTGTTTCTTCTTCTTCTTTGTATACTTTTCAAATGGTTTTCACAGGCGTTCATCTTTATCACAGTACTGAGAGATATGCAGGCAATTCTGAATGCATTTTCACAACTCACTGACCTCTCTAAGGTCCCACATTCAACAGCAGAGAGGAAACCAGAATCTGAAGCCCAGAGTCCAATGTTTCTCTTGAGAGTTTCTGTATTAAACACCTTTTCTGGTCTCAGTTTTTTTCCCACTGGGGTTGTAGAGGTCCCTGCTTTGTGATTCATGGATGTCAAGAGGATCACAGTGCTGGTACACAGGTGTTGCTCAACCACTGATTGGCAACATTGTCATAATGGTGTGAGAATAGCATTACTGTGTGAAACTGAAAGCGTCCTGGGCAGAGAGGCTGCACATCAAGCTAAGGGCCCAAGTTGAAGACAACATTGTGTTGCATGCTTATCTTCCTTGTTGTGTTTGCATTCTCTGCTCATCCTTCCTGGTCCCAGGGGGCCATCCTAAGGACGATCTGGTAATTTTGTGCAAAGGGGCTACATTATTCTCTGGAATTATACAGAAGTAAGTCTCTCTGGTGTAAAGGGAAGCTGGCTTATAGACTGCACCTGAGAAGAAAGGCTGGGACTCAAGAGAAGGAGGTTCCATTCTGATAGTTACTGCCTCTTCTTTCCTTTCTTTCTCCCTGAAGATAACACAGCCTCTCCAGGGAGCAGCCACCATGATCTCTGCAAACTGATGATGGAAGAGAGGGGAACCGGGAAATTCTGTGCTCTGGAGTCTCTGAATGATGGATGGAGGACAGCCCATCCCTTCACCCCTGGTACCCTTTGGGAACGCATCAGATTCTAGCATGTCTCTGGAACAGAAAACAACATTTGTTTTTGTGATTTTGTTGTTTATCTTTTTGGGCATCCTCATCGTCAGGTGCTTCCGGATTCTTCTAGACCCATATCGGAGCATGCCAACCTCAACCTGGGCTGATGGTCTTGAAGGCCTAGAGAAAGGGCAGTTTGATCATGCCCTTGCTTAGCAGGGACAGAGTAGGCTGCCCTCCTAAGGAGGCAAAGTGCTTTAGGTCTGAGCGAAGCTTCCTTTTCATTAATGTTCTCAACAAATCAAATTTTAACCATCTCTGGTCCTAAGGCAATGATCCATTATTTCATAGCCATGCTATTGTGTCTCATTTGAGGATAATGAAAAGTTTACATTACCGACCACCAAGTAGGAAGGAACAGACATTTGTGTTTACTCAATGAACGATTGTTGTTGAAGATGTGATTGGAAAACCAAGAGCACCGAAACTAGACTTTGCCATCAACCGAAGCAATCTGTGATCAGAACAGAGAACAAACAATAATAGAAACTCTGATCGGAGTCAGGATCAAGCAGAGAAGAGATCACCTTGCTCAAATCCCGTGTCTCATTTT